CGGTCAGAGAGGGATACATGGCGTGCAAGCCGGCGCTGCGCGCGCGGGACGCGTACCCGGCGGCGCTCTTAGGCGAGGTCGACTTTGGGTTCTGCCTCGCCTACGCCCTCGGTCTGGCGTGCAGTGGACTGGTGGGGCGGCGGTTCGGGTATCGGCGGACGATCGCGACGTCGTTCGCGCTCACGGCTGTGTTCGCGTGCGGATTGGGCGCGGCGGTTGGATACGGACCGCGGACGCGGACGAGCGACGACGCGTGGCGCCGAGCGCGGCTCGCGCACTTGCCGTAGTGAGCGTTTCAGACTCGGGGTAGGTTGTGCACACCTTTTCTTGAGTCATAATCCGTCAAGCTATGTATGGGGAAACAGTATGATCGGGGTACTCCAACTTGTGTTTTACCTTGTACAAATTTCGGCATGAGAAGGTGCCGGGAAAAGGCTACCGTCTTCGAAATCGCCCATTCGGCGACTCGCGCGAGATGCGCGGCTGCGACGAGCACCGCACGTCGCGAGATGTGGTGATTCGTTCAAACACAGTATACAGGTGTGGTGTAGATCGCCACTAGGGCGCGACGCCGTGCGCGGCGCGCGCGGCGTCGTCGTTCTAGTTTTCCAACTTTTTCCAATTCCATCTTTCCTCAGGTTTTGGGTTTTACGGTTTTCTTCGCGTTTTCCGTAACGTCCTGTTTACGTTCTTGTAGTCATAGTATTTCCCACATTCATAAAGGGGTTCCGGGTGTCCCTTCTCACTCGCCTCTTTGCATGTTTTGACCCACCGATGCGTCATTAGATTCATGACCGCGACCTGGAAGAAATACACCCGAGGAACGTCGTCGCCACGCACCTGCATACGCTCACGCTCTATTCGGTTGAGAAATTGAAGTTGCCAGTCGATGACGGCATCATTTAACCACTGGCCGTCCCTGAGAGTCTGAAAATCATGAACAGTGACGGGGGTGTACGCGTCACTCATCGCACCCTGAGATATCACCCGATTTTGCTGCGGATCCTGAAACACCTCTTCGATTGCGTTCTTCTGATGTTCTTCGAGGCGTCTGTCAAAACTGAAATCGGGCTCTGCGCGTAGGTGATCAAGGTACTCTTTCTTACTTGCCCCCGCCTCGCTCTCTGTTACATCCCGCGGAACGTATGGCACAATCGCCAGTTCCGTCTGTTGATTATCCTTCACAGGAGACAGAATTTGATTCAAATTGGTGGCTATGCAATCGTACAGGCTCGATAATCTCGCCTGCAATTCAAGCTTTCGTGCGCACCACCACGACGACTTCTCCTCATCCCAACCACTTACTCGGGGAACCCCCGTCACACACGACTCGATGTACCTGTCCACCTTAGTGGAGGCCTCGTCTTCTCGAAAATCCCGATGGAGACATGTTAAGATGTGATTCTTCAGAATGCTGGTGTCCTTCGATCTGTACTGACACCACATGCACTCGAATGAATTTTCTTCTTCCTTCACCTTGACCCTCTCGGGACTTCCACCGAAAGGGTCATCCTCCGGGACGACGCGACCGTGCACACGCGCAGGCGCCACTTCCATGCCGCTAAAACGTATGACAGTGACACCCTCATCTTGCATGATCATCTTGAAGATTGAGCCCATCTCAGATTCATCCTTCTTCCATTCCTTGCAACTAGCACGTTGTCTCAATCTTTTGACGTCGTGTACTGAAATGTAGAAGTCCCTCGGAAACTTCATTTGCCCACGCGACATGTGCGTATGCAAAACATGTCGCTCCATAGCACCCACTCGCATCATATTTTGAGTTATTTCCTCACGCCACATTCTCAGAATCTGTGCATCTCGGAGGGTTGGGTGAACTCTGATCATCTCAGCTAGCTTCCTCTTCGTGAGAAGAATCTCTGGATAAGAGTACGCCATTTTGCACGCGTCGGCGGCGTTGGAACACAGGCAGATGTTCCGCACGGAATCTAAGCGCTCGCACAACGACGCGAGAGTGGGCTCGTCCGTCATCGAACGCATCGCGCGCTCGTCCTCCGCCGTCTCGGTCGCAATCGCACCGCGTTCGAAATCGATCGCCAACGCCACCGTGTGCTCCATCGCCATCTTTGCGAATCCCCTGCGTCGTCCATCGTGGACGGCGTTACGTCGAGCAGGCTGTAGAGGAAGTGAACGATTGAGTTTTTGTGTGTGCATGTGTTGTTTGGTCAAGTTTGCATATGGAGTATGCGCGCCTGGTAGAACGTAGATTACAAAAGATTACATTTGTTGTGCATTTTCCGGTGTTTCCGTTATTTCGTCGAACAAATCCATCATCGCTGAAAATCGTCCGACTTATGCGGGCCTTGGCGCCGAGCTCGTAATCCAGCACTACGCCGTCTTCTTCGCATTGAATTGGTCGAAAAAAAATGTTAATCTTTCCTTGCAATGGATGCGCTTTCATGAGTCTTAGTATTAGTCTTGATATTACAATTTACACGTTTTCCGAACATACGCGATACCATCGACAACTTTTCGAGCGCACGCGAGCGGTATTCGAGCCTTGAGCGCCGCGCTCGAAAGTTTTTCGGTTTGCGTCTTGTGCGCGCGCGCGCCGGAGCGGCGCGTGTACGCGCACGCGCTTGACGATCCCGGAATGCATTTCGTGGGCATGTCAATAGCTTCGAATGCGCGTTGCAAATTGCGCGTCACGTAGAAATCCGTATCTTTGCGCACGAGCCCTTTGTTAAAGTGACAGTACGAAAGCGTCCATTTCGCGAGCCACGCGAGCGCGCCGTAGACGTCTACGAGTAAATCGCGCCGCGACCCCAACCCATCGGTATCGTTGTTTGGATTTTCGACCGACGCCGTCACGGGGTCGAGCGTGCGTATAATGTCCATGTTGGTTTGCACGAAGATGTCGGCTTCGAGGTATTCCATCGCGACGACGTCGGCTCGGCCCTCGTCGAGGAGTCTCGCTCGATATGGCCGTTTCGATTTCGAGTAATTCTTGCACGTCGGCGACGAATGCACGTGCAGCAAGCGACCAGCGAGCAGTGTTTTAAGGCGCGTCACTTGCATCGCGCGAAGAATATCCACTTGAAGAAACTTGACTCTTTTGTGCGCCGCGGCGCGTCGAGAGAGCAACTTTTCGTTGAGATCAATCGCAATAACGACGACGTCTTCAAATCTCTCAGCCATGGCGAGCGACATGTTCCCATAGCCGCAACACAGTTCGATGCATACCCATTTAATTTTACTCAAATCCACACCCGACATCGATACGCCGCACTCGTGCTTTAAAAACTTCCCAAATTCTGCGAGCGACCAATTCGATGGTTTTTCATTGTTCGCCGCGTAAAAACAATCCCGGGTAAACTCGCCCTCTGTCAACGTCTTGAGCATCCCCGTCGGCGACGAGATCTCGTACGGGTAACTAGGTTTCATAGTTTCATCGCGATCATATCCGGTCAATAGTACTTCGTCGCGCTGATTGGATAGTGGTTGCTCCAAAAGCGCACGCTCGGCGTCGGCGGCGCGGTGATCCTTGGCGGCCTCATCGCCGCGTCGCAACCGCCGCATCGTACGCATCGCTCGCGATATGAACGCGAAGCGCTCGGCTTGCGAATGAGGAATGCCGCGCATCTTGGAACATTTGCCGTTCTCCGCTCCATAAATGAAACTCTCAACCTCGACGCGACGACGCTGTACCGTATCGAGGTTCCGCCGGCTGCGATATCGGACCACCGCGTGGAGCCGCGATATCGTGCGTTCACGAGCGCACGGCTGCACGCAGAATTGCTCGACGCCAATCGCATCGGGAGCGAGTTTGTGATTCGTGCGCGCGGCCGGATACCGCATCGCGGTTGCCGTGCGGCGTGTCGCGGGTTGGAGGAACCTTTGCGGTTGCGGCGCCGCCGCCGCCACGTCTTGACGATCATCATCGACTCGTTCAGCGGGGACGAGCGCTGGTGCGTCCCGTCGACGATGAAGCCATCGCCGGTGACGTTCATCATGGGCGAGCCGCCCATTTGCCGACCGCGTCGCGCGCGACACTTTGCGCGCCATGATGTGCGGGGGTGCTGACGATGGAGACGCTCCACGGCAGCTATGGCGACTGAAACTACCATCTCAAGCGGTGTCTAGTGACACGAGTCAGTCGCGAATGGATAGGAAACAGTTGACGCACCATGTACAGCGCGCGCGAGGCCCCGAGACCGCGTCGACGGTATCGAACGCAAAGTTTGAAAAATACACAGCGCAAATGTCTTGATTCGGTTTGCGCCGTCAACGCGACGCGACGCGGGCGAGCACGACGCAAAACGCACATTAACATGTGTAGACGTATTGCACGTACATGACACGCGTCTCAAACGCGCGATGACGCGTCACGCGCTATGCGCGCCGTGGCGATTTACGCTCAAAAACTCACCTCATGTGCATCGCCCGCGGCGCACTCGGGACACTAGCGCTGCGATGACGACGAGGCAATGGATACGCTCGCTGTACGTGACCTAGAATATATGCGATGCATCGGCACGACGCGCGCGACCGCGCGTGCGACCGTCGGCGCGCGCGGAGTGACGCGTTAGCATAGTGTGTCAGGTGAATGCGCTATCACGCCGCGACGGTGCGGCGTTGGGACGATGCTCGTGATGGAGCGCGCGTTCGTCACTCCACGACGCGCCAGACGCGGGTTGGGTGGTCGGCAATGCCATAAAAAGACGTATCGCACGTCGCGCGTGCGTTGTGACGCGGTGTCGGACGTCGGGAAGCGACACCGCGTCGTCCATGGTGCAAAGGATGCGACAAGGAAACCGTTAGCGTCTGCCCTTTGCGCCCGGTTTCAGGGTGCTTTTGGACGCGCGCCGTGGACGACGTCGAGTTTTGCGCGTTGACAATTCGCAGATGGTATTTTAAGACTTGCATTTGCGCGCGATCGTGGGTTTTGGCGCGTTTCATGCCCACATGTGGTATGCAGATTGAATACACTTCAACGTCAAAACTAACCGGTACTGCTGAGCGTGAGGACGTCGATGAGAGTAGCGATGCGGGCGTACATTTGTGTCGTTACAAACCCGGACCGAGTCCAAGCTCCACCCGACTGCGATTGTTGATGAACGTTTCGCGATGGGACGAATCGAGATCGAGCCACTCGAGAAGCGGTTCGCGGAAATCGTCGACATGCAGCCGATGCTGCGCAGCCGGCATTCACGTGCGGACAGTGCGACATAGATTTTTCGCAAGGAAAGTCGCGAAGTCACTCCCACGGAGACGGCCATGGACGCGTGTGCGACAGATGCTACCAAATCACGTTACTCGCAAAGCGACCACCGTTCACGTGCGCGCTATGCTCGCGTGCGGTTTCTCGAGGGAAGGCGAGTCATCCCCAAATAGATGGTGACGGGCGCGTGTGCGTTGGGTGCTACCGAAAAGCAAGCAAGGCGAATCGACCACCGTTCACGTGCGCGCTATGCTCGCGTGCGGTTTCTCGAGGGAAGGTGAGTCATCCCCAAAGAGATGGTGACGGGCGCGTGTGCGAAGCTTGCTACAGGAAATGCCTCGCGTCCACCCGCGAAATGTGATACGAGTAATAACTTTTGTAATGGGTAATCGGTGAAGAACTGAATTCAATGCAAGCTCTTTGATTAAAAATTAAAAGCCTTCGCAAGGTCAAAAAAGTTTTTCGTTTCTCTCTTCGTCGTGTTCGCTCGTTCACTGCGTCGCTCACGGCGTCGTCGCTCACGGCGTCGTTCACGCGCGCGCGGCGGGCACCGCGCGGGCGTCCCGGGGCGTCTTCAATGCACAACTTGAAGACGCACAGAGAGATGTCCCAAAGCATGTCCAAGAATAGCAAGATGGACGGCGATGGCGTGATCGGTATGTCGAACCTGGTTGCAATTCCTATGAGAGGCGCGGCGGGTGATACGGCGTTGAGCAGGAAGAGGGGCTGGCACGAGAAGATGATCGATGAGCACAAACGCAAGGCAAGCAAAGGCGAGCAAATTAGCATTAGGAACTACCTCTTATAGATGTTGTAGAGAGTATTTTAGCACCTTGCAACATCTGGTTGGTGGTCAAAACCTCTTGGAGACATTTTCGCCCTTAACATTTTCGCTCGTAACTCGCTACGGAAGAATGAAACAAGATTTAGCCACGCCCAGTTCTCTCACAAATTTGCAGAAGGTTCTCTCACACCTCGTGCATTTGGAAGATGGGACCCTTTTTTTTTATTTTCGCCAGTTGCCAGCGCGTCCCACGACGCACACGCCGCGCAACGCCCGCAAACCGTCCACGCGATGACTGCGCACGGGCCTATCGCGTCGAAACGACCATGAAACCGCACGTCGCGTCGGGCACGCGTCGGTGAGGAAAGATGGAATTGGAAAAATTTGGAAAACTAGAACGACGACGCCGCGCGCGCCGCGCACGGCGTCGCGCCCTAGTGGCGATCTACACCACACCGGTATGGTGTGTTTGAACGAATCACCACATCTCGCGACGTGCGGTGCTCGTCGCAGCCGCGCATCTCGCGCGAGTCGCCGAATGGGCGATTTCGAAGATGGTAGCCTTTTCCCGTTACCTTCTCATGCCCGACATCTTCCGATCGGATACTGTTAACCCATACATCGACACTCTTGGATCATGACTCGACCTGGGGGGGGTACTCTTCTTGTAGGGTGGGAGTCAAAATCCCTGACGCTCGCGCTTGCTTGACGGCGATGGCGCTTGCGTTTTGAATGTACTCGCTGTTCAGTCGCAACTTTAGAGAGAGAGTGCTTTGCGATAGAATTCGAATAATCTCATCATTATTATTACAAAAATACTGTATCAAATCAAATATATCGGGTTTATGAATGAATGGAGTTGACCGGGACGACGATGCCGTTCGCCAACTTGATGTGGTCGGCGCCGCAAAGCGTCAACGAGTATCAAGATCTCAAATGCTCGGAGTGTCGCAAGTGAGCACTATGAATCGTGCTCCTGTTGAC